GTATCCGTTTGCCTGCGCTCTCGCCCTTGGTCCGAGTACACGCGTACATTGAGTTGACGCGCGTTAAGCATATGCCCAACATCGGTCTGGCAAACTAACTGTGTTTTGTTTGGGTTGGCTACAGTTGCCTGTCCGAATTCAGTGTCGACGCATGTGGTTTCTGCCCTGTCACTAAGGTTGGCCGCATCCCACGAGAGAACATGAGTGGTGTGCATTGCCGAGGTCATGTCGACTATAGCCTCTCACGAGTACGGCCTTGTGCCGAGAGAAGGGGCCCCCTAACAAACGTCTGTTGAACAAATTGCTCCCGTTTTGGTTTGTTTTTGTTGTTAGCGATTGAGAGGTTTTTTTTCCTTCCCAGCCCCTGAGCTTTAAGACTGCTCGCACTGATTTGAAAATAATTCAAGGAATATAAATGACGAGGTTGGCCCTCCGCCGTCTAACCATCAGCTTGCCACCAATAACCGAATGGCCGCTACCTGTACAACTGGGATTCCACGCTAAAGAGCAATGGTCAAACTGTAAAAAAACCACCGTCCCCCCGGCCTCTTTCTGATTTGCGCAAACCTTTCGAACGACCCCCAATTTTCAGGTGTAAATCAAACCAGGTAATATGGGGGAATCGAACCTACCTTTTCACGTTCGCTGTTTTACTCGCTAATGCTTGCTACGGCCCCCAGGAGAGGAAACAGCCGATCCCCTTAGCGTGACTGAAATTTGTAAGAAAGGTCTTTGACTAATACATAATGGTGTGCCGCGTGGGCAAGCTCGGCACGTCTAGACGTACGTCGCAAGGAGATACTCTGTACTCGTGTTCTCTCGTCGCGTAGCGTTGCAAGTGCCCGAGGTCAGATCCCCACCTGGCCCCACCCCCACTCCGACCAACACGCGCCACGCGCCATCACTTGTTCACCTGATCTTAATCACGTCATGTGAGAGGAGACGAGGAGACGAGTCAGGAGAAACGATGAAAGCGCCTGCATCGGGGGGCCTATTTCCGCGCGTATTTCCGGCGAAAATCCGGGAGCAATTGGCGGCGCAGATCGCAAGCGTGTCGCGCCAGAAAACACCTGGGGCCATTCGTCAGAAAAACATCAAATAAATAAATGCTAATGTAATGCACCTACGATAAACACCTTACGAACAATGAAGTTACCTATAACATCTTACGAACTAAATTTTTAAGTCGTACGTATAACACTAACACTAAATGTTAATGATACGGAAGAGTACGTTGACACACATCGTATAGTATCAGCAAAACTCACGAAACAGGAAACTTAAATAAAATTTCAATGCACAAAAGCTGCCCTGATTGGCATGAAATCGTTCCACAAAATTCAAATGCATACACAGTATTGACATCACAGTAAGTTTTGACTGGCATACTTAAGAAGCAACAACATATAAAAATATTTAAGAAAAACGACGTGGTCAGATATATATTCTCACAAAAGACAAAGTCTCACACTGAACACGAGACCCGAGAGTCGTGGCAAGTGGCAAAAGAGTTGAAAACAATCGAACAAATGCCATACGCCCATTGTAAATGTTTTGTTTTCGTTTAATAGAATAAGTAGATAAAATGATTATTGACAAGTGTTTTTTCACGAAAAACACACCTTTTATTCATCAATTAATGAAATTAAATAACACTAATAATTGTAATCGTAGTGTAAAATGTTTATTTTATTATTAAATATTAAAGTTAACGAGAAGGGTCTTCGGGCCTCTCGTAATGTTAAGAGGAATATTTTCCCGAGGAATTATCATTCTCGTAACGTTGCAGTTCGTCCAACCGTTAACGAGTGAAGTTTAATGCTAATCACTATAATGTTAAGATTACTAATTTGGTTTATGACAACGGGCCCTCTGAACACCGAATTCGAAGCAGCATGAGAAATTGACAAGAGGCCGAATAAAAGAATTTAAACGCCGCTAACACCGATCGTCAATATTGATGAGCCTAAATAATTAGCGTCTTATGTAATGTGCCAGTTATCTGTTTTTGAAATGGATTAATTAGCGTTAAGGCCGGATATCCGCTGGATGCTCAACGGCCAGTGGCGGCGTGACGTTTCCGCGGTGCAGTACGACGGTGATGCTGCAAACTACGGATCGAGCGGATACGCGACTGATGAAGCGAGGCATAGACTACTACATGACGCATAACCCTGCTCCCCGAGAAATCCATCATTACCGTTACCTGGTGGTGGAGCGAGGTGGCGGTGCATCACCCTGCGCTGCCCCCCCCCCGAAAAATCCATCTTCTAACGTTACGCATGGTGTGAGGAGTGCGTGCATACCCTGTGGCGCCTAATCCCACCCCCCCCCCGAGAATCCATCCCTTACGTTAACCTGAGTGGAGAGGTGGCGTCAAACCCTTTCGGCTGCCCCCCCACACGAAAATCCAATTCTTCACGTAACCTGGGGTGGAGAGTGCCGTGCATACGCCGTGGCTGCCTTCCCCCTCCCCCCCGAAAATACAGTCTACAATTACCATGGTGTGAGGAGGTTGGCGGTGCATACCCTGTGGCTGCCTTCCACCCCCCCCCTCCACCGAAACCAAGTCTTACATTACCTGGTGGGGAGAAAGGTCCGGTGCACTACCTGTGCTTGCCTCCACACCCCCCACCCCGAAGAACCAGTTCTTTACGTTACCTTTGGGTGAGGAGTTCGTGCATAAACCAATGTGCTGCCTCCCCCCCCCACGCGAGAATTCCACGTCCTAAACATTACCGAATGGTGGAGGAGTGCGGGCAATACCCTGTGCCTGCCTTCCCCCCTCCTCCCCGAGAATCCCAGTCCTTACATATACCTGAATGGGGAGGAGGGGGGGGTTGGCGGTGCATACCCTTGGCTCCTTCCGCCCGCCGCCACCCGAGAATAAATCCAGTCCTACGTTACCTATGGTGAGAGTGCGTGGCAAATACCCTGCGGCCTGCCTTCCACCGCCTCCTCCCCCGCCAAATTCCAGTCTTACATTACCTGAATGGTGAGGAAAAGTGCGCGGTGCCAACTCTGCGCTGCCCTCCCCTCACGCTCCCCAAGAATCCAGTCTAACGTTACCCTGTGGTGGCAGGAGGTGGTGGAGGATGTTGCGGCCATGACTCTTGCGGTCTGCCCCCCCGGGAACCATCTAAAGTACCTGTGTGGAGAGTGGGCAGGCGCATGCACCTGACGGCTGCCCCCCCCCCCCCCCGGGAAATCAATCTTAAGTTACCGTAGCGGGAGTGGCGGTCGGCGGGCGGTGGCGGTGGCCGGCGGGTGGCGTGGTGATGGCGTAAGCCCTCGGGCGGTCTCTGTCGTAATGTGTCCGCTTTTGTTTTGTCCCCGCTGCGCCAACGTAACCAGCGGCTGCGTGACGATCGGCCGCGCATGCAAAACTGTTTAACCGTAAGAAGGGAGTCGACGTTGTGCGACAGTGCGTGCGTTTTCCCGCACGTTGATGTGATTGAAATGCATAGTGGGTGTGTGTGAGTTGGGTGTGCGTGTGTGCTGCGTGCGTGCGTGGCGTGGCGTGTAAAGTTCCGTAAACGTAGTCTGCAGTAGACGATAAGCGTGCGGTCACTGTCCCTGCTCCTTAGTACTTCTGTAATAGCAGTCCCCGTATGTGTAAATGTTGCTAAGGAGCAAGCTTTCTTATCGCAAAGCGACCCAATGTGGACGGGGTGATCCAGAAGAAAAAAATAAAAAAAATATCCGAAGATTCCACAGTTTGCGCAAGCGCCTAGGCAAATTTCTCCCTTAATCAAGTTACACTGCTGGCCGCGAGTAAAAGCGGTTAGATCGGATTGGCTTCTCCTCACCTAACCCCACTTTTCACACTTACCAATGGACCAGGTAAGAGAATCCCTTCCCAGCAAGTTTGAAAAGAGCTTATAACGAAATGTAACCTTCATCGAAGAACATTCGAGACAACCACGAAGTCACTCACTCTGACCAAACTTGTTAGTTCATACAGGCTGATCTGTTGACGAAAAACCCTTGGTCAACTTAATATTGATGGCTATGGACGGGGGAAGTTGGAGTCAACCATAGTTTGATGGCTCATCGATGAGTATTGTTATAGTCAACTCAATATGATGGCTCATCGAGGGGTAGTTATAGTCAACTCAATATTGATGGCTCATTCGATGAGCGTAGTTATAGTCAACTCCAAAATATTGATGGCTCTCGATGAAGGTAGTATCAGTCCAACTCCCAATAGATGGCTCATCCGATGGGGGTAAGTATAGTCAACTCAATAATGATGCTCATCGATGGGTAGTTATAGTCAACTCCAATATGATGGCCACGATGGGTATTTATAATCAACTCGAAATATTAATGGCTCATTCGATGCGTTATGTTAAGTCAACTAATATGATGGCTCATCGATGGTGTAGTTATATCAATCACATCAAATAAATTGATAGGCGGTCATCGATGAGGTAGTTATAGTCCCAACTCAAAATTGAGCACAGTCGATTGCGAAGTCAGATATGCTACGTATACTAATTACCACCGCGCGGCACCGTAACGGGGAATTGGGTCTAGGCTTCTTAACGACACCAGCGTGCGGGTGACATCCTGCTTAATGCTCCGCTCAATACCCAGCTCAACGTTCAGCTCACGACGATGGCGAGCCACTCCCTTAGACAGCATCGCGAATTATAATCAAATATGCGGCGATGTATACGTCGAGTTTTTTTATGAGTTCAAAGTGAAACTGACGGCAGACGGAATCATAGTTTACTATCATTCATATGTACAGCCAACGTCGCGCTATCGTATATAACCTGGCGCACGTAACACGTACATAACTTAGCACGCGAGGAAAGTTGTAAATACACTACGAAAATAAGGTAGCCGGCGTTTCTGCGATGCGCTGGAAGAATTTCCGTTCGCCGTGTGTATTTATTAACATCTGTTGACCTGGAGCAGCGGGCGGTTTTCGCGCCTGCCTCGCAGCCGTAATGGTTTATGTAATTACTCGTACGCTGCCATGTGTTTTACAGCTTCTACGATACCTACTCGTTTGAGGTTATCCCCGTGATGGGGAAGCTGATCGCAGGGGATTGGAAATCCTATCAGTATCTAGTCGAGAGCATCCGCAAGTTCCCCAACCAGGTTAGTTACTGTCCTTATAGGGGATTCGCTGATAGACACGAGCTAGTGTCTGTAGCATCCAACCTGTCATCCACTGTGTGCGGACGTCCGCTCAATTTTGTCACTCGCTCTCATCTCCTGTCATGTACGTGTGTTATCCCACATTTCCATTGTATATGCACGCATTTCAACCTACCTTCATTTGTGTATTCATACGCTTCAGCATGTCTCCTACTTCTTATGTATGTTACTGCAGCCTTCCCTCATCCTCGGTAAGTATGCGTATTCTTAACCTGCCTCCTTCAGTGCTTTTTTATACCCAGTCTTTTCTACTCTGTTTAACCGTTTACCTCGGCAGTGGCCATACCCCGAAAATAGTTCTTGCTACAATAAAGTCATGTGCCGCACCTCTAATAACAGTTCGTGCCCAATTTGTTTATTTGTTTACCTGATCCCCAGCATCCAACTACCAACTCGCAAACGCCCGTGGTTGTGGCCTATGTTGCTACTGTTCTTACATTATGCGTATTTAATTGAGAATGGGGTTGAGCAGAGGTCATCAGAGTAAAGTGGTTGAAGAAATATGTTCGCAAAGGCACATAATAAAAGGTTTTGTTAAATTGCAACATCGAGTGAGATGCCCGTAATTTGTAAAAAAAATCCTTCACATTCGAGTTCGATTAAAACTGAGGTGCGAAGTACCCAGCTAAAGCCCTGACACCTTTTCATCTTCTTGCAGGAAGATTTCAAACTGATGCTGGAGGATGCAGAGTTCAAGATGGTCAGCTACGAGAACCTGACTCTGGGCGTCGCGGCCATCCACTCAGGATTTAAGTTGTGACCCCGAGTTTTGGCCTTGCAAACACCAACACAGGCGCGAATTCTCACTGTGCCCCGTCCCAGCACCCGGGCTGGGGAACAGAACACCTGAGCAGAACCCACGCGCAGTGCCTAGCTAAATTCGGTTGGAAGGAGTTTCTCTAATCAGGCGTCGTAGAATTTAGTGTACATAAAACTTAAGAGCAGTAAAATCGATAACTGCGCGCATGCTTGCGGAATAGGTTATTGATTCTTTCCGCCGGGCGTGCTGCGCAGGTCTGCCTTTCTTCCCTCACCAGGGACTGTTTCTATAGAGTTTGCCTGCAAACGTTTTCCGGCGGAATGCAGCATCCACTTGGCAGTAGCGTACATCTATGCCATTATGGTCACAGTTACGGTCACGATGATTTCAGTAAAATTATACACTTGCTATACATTTCCTATGCACGAGAAGTGAGGTAGTTTTTGGATCAAGTACGGCTAGTTTCCTTAAAGCCGCACAATGCGCATCCAAACGCTAATTTCTCCAGTACTAGACTAGCAAATACTTCGTGTCATGCATAATCAAATATCATATCTTGCGTAGACGACTTGGAGGCTGGGTAAGGGATTGCGTAGGTCAATGAATGATGTGGAGCACTCGGGTCGGAGACTGGACGAAACACGCGTCTTCATTGTTACAGAAGCCATACCCACATTTTTTATTCGTCATCCGCCCGTCGTTGTTTATTGGGAGGGTGAAGTCAGGAAGGCGGGATCGGGGTGGTTGTTAACTGGGATAGGGTTCCACCGGCATGTTTCGCGTGAGATAAAGTTAGATTTGTTGATAGGATATCTAAGAAACTTTTATGAGTGTTAGAGGATATCTGTGGTTAAAATGCTCCCGTGGCTCCCTGCTTTCTCGGTGGTATTCGTGCTGTTTATAACCTCCTGCTAGTATTTCACCCGAGCATGCCTTTCTCTCGCATTGCCTCTATATACCTTTATAGTCGTAACTGTAGGTTTTGTTCCATTCTCGATGCCGGTTACTGCTTCTAACGCACGGTCAGCCAGTGTACTGCGAACTCTAGTTTTCTGTTGGATTCGACAGGCGTTTTCATCACCAACGGCTAGCTATATGTGTATATCAAGAGTAGATAATAACATCATGTTATATTGTTATATTGATGTTATATTAATGTTATATTGATGTTATATTATCTACTCTTGGTGTATATATATACAGAGATTGTAGCCAGCGTATATTGGGTGTACTACGCAGGTCGGTCCGCGCGCAAGAAACCACTTTATTGTGTGACCGACACATACAGGAGAACCGCCTGCGTGTGTGCATGCATGCGTGTGTGTGTGTGCGTGCGTGCGTGCATGCATGCGTACGTGCGTACGTGCGTGTCGGCTATATCTGATTTCCGCGCGCTTTTCTTGCCGGCGGCGGCCGCGCAGGCGAAAAACCCGGCGTGTTGTCGGCAGGAATTTCAACACTGCAGCATTCTGCCGCCGCCGCCGCTCCCGCTCCTCGCCGTCTTATTTCGCTATTAATAAGTACGCGGAGAACGCCGTCCTGCTGCGATGGCCGTCTGCCCTGGGCGTCCCACGTGCGCGCTCGGACCTCTACGCTATTATATTAGCCGTATAGTGTGTAGCTAAGCCCGCCGTACCCCATGCAGGCCCGCCGCGGCAGATGCACGTGCTGCCTATACGGTCTATACGCGTGCTCTGCGCAGGTGCAAGCTCCATTTCCGCGAGTCCTTCCATTTTCGTCATTAGTGTTATTTGTATTTATCTGTTTATTTGTTTGTTGCATTTGTTTGTTTGTTTGTTTTCTTATGTCAGGTTGCAGCCAGCCACAGTAACAGGTTACACCGGCCTATTACAAGTATCCGTGTGCTGCTCGTCGTCCTTGGTCGAGTACACGCGTACATTGATGTTTACTCGCTTAGCATATGCCAACATTCGTGTCTTGGCAACTACTGGTGTTTGTTTGGGGTTGGCTACAGGTTGCTGTCCGAATTAGGGTCGACGCTGTGGTTTCTGCCTTGTCACTGGGTTGGCGCATCACGTAGAGAATGAGTGTGTGTGCATGCCGAGGTCATGTCGAGCTAAGCCTCTCTACGACGGCTTGTTGCCGAGGAGAAGGGGGGCCTACACTGTCTTTGTTGAACAATTGCTCCCGTTTTTGGTTTTGTTTTTGTTTGTTAGCGATTTGAGAGGTTTTTTCTTCCAGCTTCTGAGCTTAAGAACTGCGTCGGCACTGTTTGAGAAATAAGTTCATTGATATAATGACGGAGGGTTGGCTCCGCGCTAACAATACTTGCCACAAGCGAATGGCCGTACCTGTACACTGGATTCCGACGCTAGAGCATGGTCAAACTGTAAAACACCGTCCCCCCTGGCCTCTCTGATTGCGCAACCTTTTCGAACCCCCATTTCAGGTGGTATCAACCAGGTATAGGGAATCGAACCTAGCCTTTTTCACGTTCGGTGTTTACTCGCTAATGCTTGCTACGGCCCCCAGGAGAGGAAACAGCCGATCCCCTAGCGTGACTGAAATTTCGTAAGAAGGCTGATATACATATAGGTGTGCGCGCGTGGGCAGCTCGGCACGCTAGACGTACGTCGCGGGAATATCTCTGTACTCGTGTTCTCTCGCGCGTTCGTTGCGAGTTGCCGAGGTCTAGATCCCCCACTGGGCCCACCCCCACTCCGCCAACAGCGCCACCGCCATCACTTGTTCACCTTGATCTTTATCACGGTGAGAGGGAGAGAGGGAGAGAGAGAGGAGGAAACGATGGAAATTCGCCTGCATCGGGGGCTATTTTCGCGCGGATTTCGGCGAAATTCCGGGAGCATTGGCGGGCGCAGATCGCAGCGTGTCGGCGCAAAACACCTGGGGGCCATTGTCAGAAACATCATAAAGTTAATGCTAATGTTAATGCTACGATAACACTTACGACTAATGTTAATGTTACGATAACACTTACGACTAATGTTAATGCTACGATAACACTTACGACTAATGTTAATGTTACGAGAGTAGCGTTGACACATCGTATAGCTACGAGCAAACTCACGATAACAGGAACTTCATAATTTCATGTCACAAAGCTGCTGATTGGATGAGAATCGTTCACAAAATTCAAATTCATACACATTTATTGTACATCACAGTAATTTATGCATATTATGATGGCTAACCACATATAAATAATATTTTAAGAAAAACGACGTGGTCATGAATTTATTCTGCACAAGACAAATTCTCACACTGTAACACGAGACGCGAGAGTCGTGGCAAGTGGCAAAGTAGTTAAAACAAGAGAACAAATGCCATACGCCATTTGTAAATGTTTTGTTTTGTTAATATGATAAGTAGATAATTAATGATTTTGACGTGTTTTTCACGAAAAACACACCTTTTATTCATTATTATGAAATATAATATCACTATAATTGTAATTCGTAGTGTAAATGTGTTATTTTTATTTTAATATTAAAGTTACGAGAGGGTCTGGGCTCTCGTAATGTTAAGAGGATATTTTCGAGGATTTTTCATTCTCGTAACGTTGCGATGTTTCTGTCAACGGTTACGAGTGGAAGTTAATGTTAACACTAATGTTAAGACTAATTTTGTTTATGACAACGGGCCCCTGAACATCCGATTTCGGAAGCGCATGAGAAATTGACGAGGCCGATAAAGAATTTAACGCGCGCCACGCGACGTGCAATATTGATGAGCTAATAATTATCGTTCTTATGGTAATGGTGCCAGTTACTGTTTTTGAAATGGATTAATTAGCGTTAGGCCGATATCCGCTGGGATCGCCAGCGGCAGTGGCGGCGTGATTTCGCGGGTCAGACGACGGTGATTGCTGCAAACTACGGATCGAGCGGGATGACGTCGACTGATTAACGAGGCATAACTACTAATGACGCATACCCTGCTCCCCGAGAATCCATTCTTACGTTACCTGGTGGTGGAGGAGGTGGCGGTGCATACCCTGCGGCTGCCCCCCCCCCGAAAATCCATTCTTACGTTACCTGGTGGTGGAGGAGGTGGCGGTGCATACCCTGTGGCTGCCTTCCCCCCGAAAATCCATTCTTACGTTACCTGGTGGTGGAGGAGGTGGCGGTGCA